TTTTTTTTTTTTTTGGCTGAAACAAGTGTGTTAGGTGCAGATAATGTTAAAACCAAGACAGGTTTATAGTTCTCATAACACTGTATGGTACATGGAAATGGATCAGTTGCCAGTAACACTTATGAACTCAACTTATGTACTCTACTGCTGTTAATGTCAGGTTTGCAAACCTTTTTTTTGACCATTTGCTTTGTTGCTGCAGTTGACTATGAGGGGACCACCTGGTCCAATGGGACTGACGGGACGTTCTGGCCCTGTAGTAAGTAGACAATTTAATTTGAGGAAAACAATTAAACAAAGTTATTCCTTTTCAACAAAATAAAATGTTGTTTTAAAATAAAAATGTTCTGTTCATACCACATTCACTTCATATGTTGAATACATTTTTACAAATTGTATCTTTTTACCCAATATTTGCTGCTATTATTTATTTAATTAGTTAGTTAGTAATTGTAATGCACCAAGAAATATAAATATATTAATATAAAGCAAAACATATCTATTTATAAAAAAAACATGAATTAAATAAATCGCATGAATAGGTGATGTTAGATTTTGAAAATGCTTTAATCAGTTTCCAATGTGTTTGTGTCAATCAGATTTTTTATTTATTTATTTTTTATTATTATTTTAAAAACAGTTTTACAAACCTAAATATATTGCAGCCAATGAAATTAAGTTGTGAACAAAAAGTTCAGGAATTGTGATGCTTGTTCAATTTAAATGCATTTAATTTATTATTATTATTATTATTATTATTATTATTATTATTATTATATTTTTTTAATTTACATTTTATTTATTTTATGTAGATGAGGGGCACAGAAAATAAACATGATCTAAAAGCCACATGCATGCAAAATTTACCTTCATGAATGTCTCTTTTCTTTTCTTTTCTTTTCTTTTCTTTTCTTGTGTCTTCCTTTTGAACCCAATTCCCTCCAGTTGACATCACACAAACACTGATAGGAACATGTGTTACTTTCATCTCGCTATGATTTATGTCCAGAAAATGAGCAGTTCTTTGATGCTGATGTGCTTTCAGGCTGTCTGCAGTTTGTTTTCACATTCTCTTCTCAGATTTCTTTTGTCATTTTTGTGTTTCTGTATTTCATCCTCTTGAGATGAATCATATAAGAATGCCACTAGAATTTCTCTCATTCTTTTCCGCTTTTCTGCCTCCAAATCAAATGCCCTTTAAAAGCAATGGCAGAGGAATGTGTTTGGGTAGCCAGCGTGTGACCCAAACACAGCTCCACGCATATAATATTGGTGTTTAGAGAGGTGTGTGAGACGTAAAACTCATGTGTATGTGTGTGTTTCAGGGTGGTCCTGGTGCATCTGGTGCTAAAGGGGAAAGTGGAGATCCTGGCCCACAGGTGACTGCCTCTACATTTTAACAACCTGTTTTAACAGCTTTAATCCTAATTGTAATCCTAATTTATAGAACAATGATATGAGTATTCCTGAGATTCACTACCATCTGCACTACCATTCAAAAGTTTTGAAAGAAATTAATATTATTTAGCTAGAATCCAATAAAGCTGATCAAAAATGCCGGTAAAGACATTTATAATGCTACAAAATATTTCGATTTGAAATAAATGCTGTTCTTTTAAACTTTATATTTGTCAAATAGTCCTGAAAAAAATGTATAATGGTTTCCATAAAAAGCAGCACAACTGTTTTCAACATTGATAATAGTAAGAAATGTTTCTTGAGCTGCAAATCAGCATATTAGAATGATTTCTGAAGGATCTTGTGACACTGAAGACTGGAGTAATGGCTGCTGAAAACTGTATCTTCCGAACCCAAACTTTTGAACTTTTTGACCCCAAACTTTATGTACTGATATATATATATATATATATATATATATATATATATACACACAAGATGTGCTTATCAGTGACTGTTTTCTTTAGGCCCACCCTGAAATTATGTCTCTAAAAATGCTGCTTTTAAATGACAAAAAGAAAGCAAAGTGGAATCCAGTTGTAGTCATTATTTGTTGTGGATAAATTAACAGAATTAGGGTGTTGCATCAGAGATTTGAAAGCTTTAATGCTGTCATAACAATTAGCGTGCTTCTTTTCATGGTAAAGCTTATATGCAATTGAATGTAAAATATGCTGGGGGGATAAACACACATCCGCAGTAAAATAGCACTTTCTAGTGTAAAAAAAAAAAATATATATATATGCGCTTCTTCTCTGGAGCAGGGAGAGTCTCAGTCAGCTGACGGTGAGGAAGAAGTATTAGGCTTGAAGGGTTACATTACATAAAAAGTAACAATTTAACAATTACTTTTACTTAATTTTCAACACTGCTTTTCATTTGTCATTTAGCAGTACGCTTTCATTACAGAATGTTGTGTGTTTTTAAGGGACCAAGAGGACTTCAAGGACCTACTGGACCAGCTGGAAAACTAGGCAAGAGGGTAAGAATAGGAAAAATCTGTTCATGCTGGAGTTGGTAGTGTTCAGAGGTGTAAAGAGTACCTAAAAAACATACTTGAGTAAAAGTACAGATACCTTACAGTGAAAATTACTCCACTACACGTTACAAGTCACCAATTCCAAAACAACTTGAGTAAAACTCTTAGAGTATCTGATTTTAACAGTACTTAAGTATTTTACTTATACTAAATATAGGCTCAAAAAATGCACTAGTCAAAGAGACACGCTAGTTAAAAAACTGTAATGTTGTGGAGAAGCTGCGGAAAACAGGAAGAGGTAAGGATCTATCTGGTATTTCATGGAAAAACTAGAACAAACAATAAGGCAAAAACCAAAGGGAACAAAGAACAGAATGACTGGCAAACAGACAACCATTACATTCAACAACTCACAAGGAACTAAAGAAAAACTAGGGCTATATATACACACTGGGGGCTAACAAGCTTAACAAGATAAGACACACCTGAGGAGACTAATCAAGGGGAACCAATGAACAAACGGACTACAAACTGACTACAAACACCACAGGAGACAGGAAGTGACATAAAAGTCCAGGGCAAGGCACAGAGAATATGAAACAAAAACAAGAAAAGAGTTGATGTGATATTTTCTAAAACCAAACGTTTATTTTCTAAAACCAAAATAAAACTGAACACCTCAAAATTACAAAACAAAACAAACAAACAAAAAACAATATTTTTCAAAAAGGTCTCTTCAGTATAATGGATAAATAAAATAATGTTAAGTAAAATTAAAAAGCCGAAGCCTTCTTGCAGTGCATGTGATGGTTTGGGCTTTATTGCCAGCTGCAGTCATGTCTTAATTCTCATATGTAAAACACCTCTGATTCACAAATACTTGCTAAGGAACTCGCATTCACATAAAGTAGCCTTGTTGACAAGTTTGGGTGAGTAAGGGCAAAACGCACAAGATGCAGTACTTTCAGTGCTCTGTAGTAGGCAGTATCACATATTTTGTAGCAGAAATAAACTGCTGCAGAAAAAGCTAGGTCCATGCAAATGTAATGTGTAACTGCAACACTCATTTCAAATGTAGTGGAGTAAAGAGTACAGATACTCATTCAAAAATGTAGTGAAGTAAAGAGTAAAAGTTGCTAATATCTTTGATACTCAGTACAACTACAAAGTACCCGAAAAGATACTCAAGTACAGTAACTAATTACATTTACTCCAATACTTTACACCTCTGAACTGAACTGAGCTGGATGATGACATCACTGAATTCAATGATGAACTGCCTTTAA